TCCACAATAGTTCTTACTCTAACATGGTGTAATGATCAGTAACAATCACTGGTTTTCACACTTACTATTAAAAAAAGTAGGAACAGTATGGCAATGTACAGGGAATATATGCTGTATACATAAACAATATGTTATCTTTAATAGATTCATCCCCCCAACCCCCTTTCTGTTTTAGAAGATAACCTGTAGACTGGTGTCTGTTGTGTGACAATGTGCATGATGAATGACTCAGGCCTTGTCTATACTTATATGGAGATTGACACTCTGGAGATTGATCTTCTAGGTTCAGTTTAGTGGGTCTAGTAAGGATTTAAGGTAAGTTGACTACAGTTATGCTATTCTCATAGCTGGAGTTACATATCTTAAGTCAAATTTCTCCCCCAGTGTAGACCTGTGCTCAGTAAATACTATGACCAAAGGAGCCTGAGCTTCTAGAAATCCTGGAACTGTGGTGAGGAGACCAGCACTAATTGTTTACGAAACTCTAAACTCTCTGAGGCAAGCAGGACTGTTGGCAGCTATGCTGTTAGAAATCTGACAGCACATTTTGTCACACCACTTACCACAGAAAGCTCTGATAAGGGGGATTGTCATTGACAGAAAGTAGTCTTTAGAAAAACATGAAGGTCCTTGATAAGTTGCTTCTCTCCTCTCCTCCTCCCTTGTTCTATTTTAAGAGCAACAGGGTCAGCTGAACACCTCTCTATCACTATATTCCTTTAATTTAATGTACTGGAGGCCAAGAAGTTGATCTGTTTGCCCAGATGCAGGCAGAAGAATAGAAAACTCCTCTAGGAAGGGAAAATGCCAAAACAACCAGGATTGTAAAAAGATTACTTCCTCAAAAAGTGGGCTGTGCCCACGAAAGCTCATGACACCATCTACATGTTTTGTTAGTCTATAAAGTGCTACCTGACCATTTGTTGTTTTTTTCTGTAAAAGACTAACTTGGCTATCCTCTGAAGCTCTAAGTCATACAGGAGTTATTTTTGAAAGTGGGAACGGACTTACCACTTGTATACTTTCACTGGATCTTGCAAGCCCAGCTTGGAAATGCAGTCACGGCAATGACAGCCATTTTAGAAGGCTGAACTGGGATGGATCATGCTAGGAAACGAGAGGCAGAGAGAGTCTGTGGGTCATATTAAACAGGATCCCTCTCTCATTAATAGGAAAAAAAGATTCTACGTCAGGGAAGTTTGGAAGATTACTTCTGGTCACAATTCCCATTGATACCTAGGAAAGCAATTTCAGGAATAGCTCTGATTTTGCTTTTCTGTATAGGTAATGTTTTTGATTTCCTGTTTATTAAAAGTACATTTCAGTAACTCTAAAATTACAAAAAATCACAAGTCAGGCTCCACTTAAAATCATGAGATTGACTAAAAGTTATGGGATAAAACATTTTGAGTTGTTTCCTTCCTTTTGGTTTCTGAGCCTTCAGGGTGATTTTGTTTCATGTTTTCAAACTTCCATCTGTAACCATGAGGGCTATAAACTTACCTCAAAATAAAAAAGCCCTTGAAATTCTCATGCAATATTCTGATTCTAGCAGCTTAGGCTTAAACACCGCCCCCAGCAAGTATATGAGCCTTCCTTGCAATAAAAAATAAAAGACAGCAGCACTGTATTTGCTGTTATTTTGAGTTGTGGGAGGGAGGGGGATAAAGTAGTAAACAGACAGCCTTTTATACACTCTTATGTCTCAGTTTTACAGAATTGACAATTTTCTTAAGGAACCTAGAATCAGAAGAGACTATGATAAATTCCAAGGGAAAAAAAAGCACTAACCTCAGTGGCCTAAGCTCTTGACACAGCTATATAAGGATAAAAATGTAACAAACCCATCAGGATTGCCAGAAACAGGTTCTCAGGTGTTTAGATGGAAAAGCAGAGTTTGTTATTTCTTACTTCGGTATACCAGTCCATTTGTTCTCAACTAACAATTCCCTTGGATTTTCATTTTAGCATTGAAGTAGTATCTTTGGCATTAAGATACTACTTAATCTTACTTTTGTGCTGTGGAGAAATATACTATTAGCTTTACAAAAGCTAAACCTCATGAAAATGTTTTCAGGCTCAAAAAACCTTGGTGTAACTGATCATCTGAAAAGAAGAAAGCTTAAATCATGACACGTGCGCTCTTTATTTAAAAAAAAATAAAAAAGTCTTGACATAGGCTAATCACATTGTCTCTAAATAACAAGTAAAAACCCCAGATCTCTAAAATATAGAATAGTTTTATTATGAAAATGCACAAAATATTTTGTTTGCTCTGTCAATTAAATCATAACACATTTTTATAAAATATATATAGCCAGATGACAAATAAAATGAGCCAGTTCTCCAAAAGAAGTATTTTTGTAATGCTGACAGTTTATTCTTTTTTTCATGGTTAATTCCAGTGTTCAAGACTCACAGATGTTCTCCATAGGTTAGGGTATGTCTACACTACAAAGTTAGTTCAAAGTAACGGACGTTAGTTCGAACTAACTTTCATAGGCGCTACACTAGCGCTCCGTTAGTTCGAACTTAATTCGAACTAACGGAGCACTTAGTTCGAACTAGGTAAACCTCATTTTACGAGGATTAAGCCTAGTTCGAACTAGCTAGTTCGAATTAAGGGCTGTGTAGACCTTTAGTTCGAACTAGTGGGAGGCTAGCCCTTCCCAGGTTCCCCCTGGTGACCTCTCTGGGCACAACCAGGAAAACTCTTCTCCTCTCCCCCAGCCCCGGGCCCTTAAAGGGGTAGACTCTGGCCAGACGGCACTGGAGTCACTAGTGGGAGGCTAGCCCTTCCCAGGTTCCCCCTGGTGGCCTCTCTGGGCACAACCAGGAAAACTCTTCTCCTCTCCCCCAGCCCCGGGCCCTTAAAGGGATAGACTCTGGCCAGACGGCACTAGAGTCAGCCAGCCCTGCCAGGAGTCTCGGCCCCAAACCCGTGGCCCCA